CAAGCATTGAATGTTGCATTCTCTGTGGATTTGAAGACGTCAAAGAGAAGACTTAAGTTGTTTAGCGCCGCAAAAAAAATTTCAAAGATTTCAGCGAAATGATATTTTGGAAATTCAACGAAAAGAGTAATGATAAAGTGGGAACAAATAAATCGATCTACGTAGGATTATGCAAGGAAAATATTGTTTAAGATTTTCATTATTATAGTCCATTTTCACGAAAAACTTAACTGCAGTTAAGGGCTCAGGAAAGTTACATGGGGTAAGCGCAGCTAAGGTTTGTTGAAACTGATCTATGGCTTTATGTAAATTGAATTTTAGAATACCATTTTGTCTTCCATACATAGAGCCTTCTTTATAATTTGGTAACCTTCGGTCTTCACCGTTAAAATGTAACTAGAATATACTCTCTTTTGACCAGGCAACTTAACCTTTGCTGATAGTAAAACGTTTCAATAGGTAGAGCGTGCTTATCTGGTTTTTCTGACACTACCAAGGATGGCCAATAGATTTCTTGAATCGACGGCACCAATTACCTTGACCGCTTGTAATTGATTTGAGTTTGTCTACGCTACGATCTGAAATGCGCACCGAGGCGCTTAAACCTTAGCTAAGCGAAAGCCGGGCAGCTGGGAAGGAAGTGCTGAGATGATTCCACCTCGTCTTCCAAAGAGCTGTGACAGTAGAGATCCGTGACGATATTTAGTCACACTGCGTGGGTCCTTAAGGTGAACGTCCGGTAAGTAAACCTGTAAAAATCGAGAGCTGACGCTTAGACGATCCTTTCTACCCTCACGGTCAACAACCGGCCGGAAATACCTTGAAACTTTTCATATCGGGACTATGACTATGAGCCCTTCTGTCCAGGAGCAGGCCGCAGGTTCCCAACGTAACTCCTATGCCCTCCCTGTCCGAGGTGATGGCCTGGAGAGTGCTCTGCGCAGCCGATTCATCAGCCCTGCAATTTTCAGTGATATCACTGTGGCCTGGGACCCAAATCAGCTTGAGGTGGAAGTATTCTGAAACGGTTGAGGGAGAGTTCGGACATTCTCTGACTACTTTCGATCGTACCATCAGCAATCGCAGCGCCCTTATTGCCGCTTAGCTATCATAGTAGATAATTATCCTCCTAGTCGGCATAGCCAATTGGCTGCCTCTGGACGTAAGATCTACTGAGAGTTCTTAACACCTCCTCCAACTCTCCCGTCCAGCTTGGATCCGTCCGTAAAAATGTTTATTGGCCCTCTACTCAAGAGACTGACATTCTCCGATCCACGCCTTGAAGCAATGTGCAAGGAGAATGATTCGTTTGGAGCCAGCCTCCAGACCAGACTACCAGACAATGGCCCCATATACCATGTTTGGCTTCATACTGTTTTAATCTAGCCAGTGTATCATTTTTGGCATTCTTACAGAAAAATGGAACCACCGATGCCTTTTTTACTTGCTCCTCAATATTTGGCTTCCATGATAGCTTCCTTTCCGGGATCACGCTCAAGACCTGGACCCTGTCAGAGAGAGCAAGTGATACAGTTCCCCAATTGAGGAAAGCTGGGCATGGGACACTTTGTACCTCTTGGTGCATAGTACGAGCTCCGTATTTCTAGTATTAATAAAAGGTACGCAGCTGGGACCAGTTTGTTACCATGCTTAGATACCCTTGCATTAGATGATACAGAGTTTTCAATCACTTTCCTCTGACGGTCAGTGCCATATCATGCGCGTAGGCGATAATCTGGCATCCTCTCCTTCCCATCCCCTCCAGGATGTCGCTTATCACTTTTATCCAGAGAAAAGGTGAAGGGATGCCTCCATGTAGGGTGCCTCGACTCACTCTTCACTGGTAAGAGGCATTACCCCATTTCGCTGTGACAGTTCTGTCGTGCAGCATACGGCAGATGAGCTCTTACTAGATGGCTCTTTCTATCGCCCCAGGTACCACATTATTGAAATTCCCTCCAATGTGAAGGATGTGAAGTACCTCGGAAATAAGTGTCAGCTTTTTCCCGCTTTGGTGATGAACATAACCTTCACACTGACAGACTTTTGCAGCTGCAGAGTAATGATGCCATCCGGTCCATGGGACTTGAAGAGCCCGAATGAGTCGATCGCCCAGAGTAGTCGGTGCTGCTCCAGTAATTCACCGGAGGATGTAGGGCAATCGACCGTATCAACACCGGTAGGCTCACATGGTGCAGAATTGGCTGGGAAATAAGCGTTAAGGAGTAGTTTAAGAGCTTCTCTTTCGCTCACCGCTAGTTGCCCTCTTCGTCCCTAAATTATTCCAAGGGTATGGGACTGCTCGCTAGGATTCGCCTTAATTGAGGTAATTCGCGCTATCATCCACTTAAAATCTTTTACGACACTTAAAATCAGCCGTAATTCAATGACTTGGTTAAAAGCATCCCTAGCTCACAGACTATATTCGAAATGTGCACGTTCTCATTCGTGTATAGTCAAAAAGATTCCTTAAAAAAAAATGCGGTTTTATTTCCTTTTGGAATTAAATCCTCTCTCCAAAGCCACTCATTATTCTCTAATAGAAAATATTTAATTTACGGGAAACCTTCTTATATACATACAGCGGTTAAAAATGTTATTGGAATTAATTTTCGGTTGATATTTAAAGCATTTCTATAAAGACTTTGACGCATAAGGACGTATGTTTAAATTATAAGTGAGTTTTCGTACTAATTCACATTCAGTACAAACCACACTTAGATCAAATACGTTTGTGAAGTTTAAACATTTATGTATATAAATTAAAGTACTTGCCAAATTTTATAATAGCAAAGCGAAAAAAAGTTTCAAAACGATTCATCCATCGAAGTATATTAAAAGTGATACTCGTATATTAAGTCGGCGAAGTGAATATGAGCCTCCTAGACGTATGAGTGACGAAGTCAGTCATTTCAGTTATTACGCACTTCCTCGCCAGATGTGAACAAATCAGTCACATTTTTACATACTATACTCTTTCATTTGTTTTAAGTTAATGCTTTCATACTATGTATACAATACGTCGCATGCATATATTACTCATATATACATATACTAACTCGTATACTTTATGTCTTACATACATACTTAGACAAATATGCATTAATGAACCACGTGTTGTAAGGAGGTTGAGTGCCCTCTGTGGTATGCCAACGGAAAATTGTTTACTCATTCAGCGTTTAAGTAAGTAAGTGAAATTATAGTATAACCAGAAACACACCCATATAAATATTTATATCAAAATTAACACATACATATGTACGTGCTACAAAAGACGTATATGAATTCTATAGTAGCTCACTGCTTTTGTGTTTTTGCTTGCATGTATGCATCTACTTACTTATATATAATAAGGTATGAATGAAGTACACATTTTGGTTTTGCACAAAAAGTTAGAGAAAATGTCAAAAATGGAAATGTTTTGACGTTGGCATGCTTGCTTATCGGTTCGCTGAGTTCCAGCTGATGTGGCATTTATGCAAATTACGTGCGACATGACATCCTTAGTATTTCAGTTGGGTCGAAGTAGAGGGCGTCAAAAGATTTATTGTGTGTAACCTTAAGCTGACTACAAAAAGTGGCGTTAGTGCTCACAATGGATAATTTTTGGTTTAAGGAAAATCTAACAAACAACGCTGGAATTGTGTTGCACTAACAAACCATAAAAGAAATAAATATGTTTACTCAGAGGAGGGAGACGTTTAATCAGTAAATAAGACACTGTTTTTTTCAAATTATTAATCTAATCCCAAATGATAATTTAACTTAGAGAGACATACATATCTGTAAGAAAGTTTGACAAGATAGTGCATCGTCTCCTGGAGTGTGGGTAAAAAGATTAGAGAAGAGGCACTTTGCATAGCTCTTTCGTTCCATGTGGGCAACTCTCAATTAGTTCGCACTGCCGCATGACTCGACAGTTTTTATTCGGACACACAATTTTCGCTCCTTTATTAACATAGATAAGGCTACATATGTGCTCGTAGCAGAGCTGAGTCACTTGTTCCTTACCTCGGGTGGGGGGTAACAAGTAACGCTCAGCAATGCGCGAACTACAAATACTCTTATTTTAAAATTCTCTACCCCTCACCACTGGTGGGGGGAAGTAGAGTTTAATAAAATAAGAGGTTAGTACTTTCAATATTAATACCCCTTACCGCTGGTGGGGGGAAGTAAAACCTTAATAAAGAAATAAGAAGACAGATAGTTAGATGCTTTACCCCTTACCTCTGGTGGGGTATAAAAGAAAGAAAAGAAGCGTATTAGTTGAGAGTCTTTACGAATCTGATTAGTTTATTCAACATTTTTCTTTTATATACAATTTTCTAACTCTATTTCCTTAACTAATTATATATGTATGTGTGTGTAAATGTACATGTGCATGTATGTATGTATATTTACATAAGATTACCAACCAATGCCTTGGTCTTCTAATTATATTTTTATTGCTTGCTTGTGCATCGGCTATATACATGCAAAGCCTATTATCTAATGCATTTTCTAATGCATGCATAGGTATGTGTGTATATATATTTGTATGCAAGAGATAAACGCATTGATCTCTTATTTCAGTATGTATTACAATTTATGTGATTTTAAATTTATGTTATGATAAGCAGCAATCTTCGTACTCAGGCAACAAGATCGCAGAGAATTTCGATTGCTTTGCTTATCATACATTTGACAGAGTAGTGGACTGTATACATATACGTAAATATTTTCTGTATGTAAATAAGTATGTTTTGTTTCTTGCATTGCATGTACAGACAAAACGATCCTTTTCTAAATACATGTTCATATGGATGCGTATATGTTATTGTCTAAGTAGGTACATACATATGCACGTATTTTTTATGTTAAATTTTATTACCCTGGCAGATATGTACTCATGTTCAAAGATGTTTGAACATATTGCCGAGGACAAAAAAGTGATTATTTGTGTACTGTGTATACATATATTTTTAAATGTTTTTACTACCTATATTTATTATCTTACTTAGGCAGATATACCCATGTTCAAAGATATTTGAACAATATGTATGTTGTGTAGATTATGTAAATCCAAAAAAGGACTACTGTACATATTTTCAAGCAAATACGCAAATAATTCAGAAATAATTTAATTGCTCATTCTTGAGTTTATAATAAGCTGATATTTAGTATTTAGAGAGAAGAATCGAATGCAATGAGTTAGAAGTGCGTGCTTGCAATAGAAAGGGAGTTATGAAGAGTCAAAGTGGCGTGCCTCCTTTCCGTGCCAGGCAGTATTTTGAAAATATTTTAAAAAGGGTTGCCACCTATTTGAGAAGTGTAATGAAATTACTTTATACCCAAGTTATGTGAAATATTAAAAATCAGTGTCAGAAATAAGGAAATGAAAGAAATTTAAGAAACCTTCAGTTTGACAATTTAGAATACTTTTGATGGGTTTAAGGGTTGCCACCAGTTTAAAACATTGAATTCGAATTATTTAATAAGCTAAATTAATTCTAAAAGCACGGTTATCAATGCAAATGGGTTTAAAGTCCTTTTTTCTGAACTATATTTAGGAGGGTTGCCCCGAATTTAAAAAATTAAATTCAACGTAATTCATCAGTTACTTGAAATATTTATAACTATGTCAGACGAGAGATATTTAAGGATATTTTCGAAAATAATTTTGAAGAGGGTTGTCGCCTGTTTTGAAAGTCGAACTAAGTTTAATTATACAAAAGTTATGTACATGAAATTTTAAAATATGGGTATCAAACGAATGAGAGTTAAGAAATATTGAACATTTCGAATTTTTTAGGGTGTCAGAAGAGGTTTGCCACCTGTTGAAAAACTTTTATTAAAATTATTCAATAAGTTAAACGAATTGTCAAAAGATGGATATGAATCCAAATGGATTAATGGACAAGTTAAATGAAATATTTAAATATTAATGTCAAGCGATAGAGTTTTGGAAAACTTTAAGGTGATAATATTTTTAATTAGGGTTTCCACCATTTTTTTTAGGTCGTTAGATCTGCACCGTTATTTCGAATTTCCAAAATGGGAAGCCAAATTAAAGAACTTCGATTGATATAGATGTGCAATAAGTTTTATTTTTTGAAGTTAGAATCTTTCTAGAAGTGATTTGAAAATTGATGAATTGAAAACCGACATCGTGAGACCTCTCATCACAAAGAAATCGCTTAGATGAATCATTAGAAAATGTTTTTCGAGGTTTTAAATAGGATTTAACCTTTCTAAAAAGTTAAGTTTAATTATAGCGTTTTAACGCGATGCGGGTTCACTAGTATAAATTTAATACCCAAAGGCATTTTTAGTCCAAGTCTTCAGATCTGCACCGCTCGTTCGATTTTCGAAAATGAGGTGTCAAATGAAAGTCCTTGGGCTGTTCTGGTAGGTCTTACCATTGATTTTCGGCAATTTATGTTCGACGATTTTTTTTGTACAAAAAAAAAATACGGACCACCCTCAACGTCAAACAAAAATACCAAAATTCAGCGGTAAGTTCTAGATACTTAAAATTTGCACTTTGTTGTATTAAAATTTGATGGACTAGAAAAATAGAAATTTTGCTGGAAGTTTGCAGAACTTGCACAATTTTCGCAGAAAGATTGAAATTTGGATTTATATCGTGTTTGCTATGTAATCAGCTTAACTTTCATACAAAAATAATAAAAATTAAATAAACTAAAGACAATAGCCACAAATTTCTAAAATGTCGCATCCCACCTTTTATTTAGTTCACTGCAACTATATCTCGGTAACCGTTTTATCAATTTGTACCAAACTCAGTACAATTATTGACCTTGGCATAAAAAAGCTTTATGTTGAAAATTTTGGAATTTAGACTGAAATTGCGCTCACCTTCCACTGCAAAAAAAAAACGCGGAGGGAACATTTCTCTTTCGTGCTGAATTAGACCAGCGTTGGTAACCATTAGGGTGTTCGATTACTCTCTTTTGTCCAAAACCGGTTTTCGAGTTATTCGAAAAATTTCAATTTGAAAGAATCCTGTTCCCGATTTTGAAATTAAGAAATTTTACATATGGGGTATTCAAAACGGTGTCGAATCAAACATTAAGACTAAAATAATAACGTTTTTTGTCATATTTGTATTGGCAATATCGATATTTTTGTAGTATTGATTTGAGCGCCTTTGCATATGCAACGCCGCTTGTAGCAAAAGTCGTGCTGTTAGACAATAACTTTTTGAAAACTCAGCACTTGCAGCATTTAAAAAATGTTGCTCATACCACTCGGAGCCCGCGGGCATACCTAATAAGACTTATTCTTAAAAAACCGTAAGTTTTGTGAATACATTGTAAATATGTAGAAAACTTTTCGAAGATATCTAAAACCCACACCAATTTTCATTAATTTTTCCACTTCTACAGCATTTTATGGCAGAATGTCAAAAGAAAATAGTCTCTTTTAGTCATTACTTAAAAAAGAATGTTTGATTCCGAGTAAAACTAGGTATCATTTATAAAACCCAAGGGACAATTTCGGAAGATATGAATTTTCTAAAAATTTCTTCAAAAATTACTTCCATGTAAATTCACAGAACATTTGGATCAGTTGAATTGGATTCACTTGGAGGTTTCGATAATTCGTATGGAAAAATTTGAATTAGTCTCTATAAAAGATGGCATAACTTCACAACTTTTTTATTCATTTTAATGAGTGGTACGTTTAATTACATTTAATCAAAAATTTTTCCAAAGTAATGAAGAAAAAAGACTATTTTCTTATGCAATTTTGGGAAAAAATGTAGTAGAAGTGGAAAAAATAATAAAAATTGGTGTAAATTTCAGATTTATTCCAAAAATTTTCCACAAATTTACAATGTGTTTACAAAACTTATTATATCTTTAAATAGTACCAATATTATTCTTGCTAAAACCATATACAGCGTGGCGACGAATACCCAGTTTTTTAGAAATAAAAGTGTCCTTTATAGATTTTGCGAAAAAAGTTCATTTGGCACGCAGGTCTTAGTCAATTAATTTATTCCATATCTTCTGTAACCATAGGCTAATCTTCTCCATTTTGAATCCTTTATACTCCCCCTTCTGTCCCAGCATAAGGCCTCATACGAAAAAATTGAATAGACTCGGAACTGCTGACTAGGACGGCCATTCATTCGAACAACCGTATACAGTTTTTTTTTGTAATTTTTTATACAAAGCCTAAAAAAAATACACCTGAAAAAGACTTGCGTGCCAAATGAACTTTTCTCTCAAAGTTTACGCTGCTGGCAAATCTAAATAGGGATTAAGATTTAAAAACTAATTAATACAACTAAAGTAAAATCTGTGGAAAATTAACAATAAAATACTTTTTTCGCAAAATCTATAAAGGACCCTCTTATTTCTCAAAAAAACCTGGGTGACAGTTATTCGTCGCCACGCTGTACAAATTTGAAATTGCTTGAAAATTAACTGAACTAAAAATTCCTTAGTGCCGGAAGTAAGAGTAGAGAAGGGGGAAGTAAGTTGAGGAGTTGATGGTGTTAGAAAAATTTTGAAAACAGCTTCGTGAATTAATTGGCCAGATCTATGACCTGTGCTAGGTCATTTTAAAAGTTTGTGCACTTTTTTTTTATTCTGTAACACCAAGTGATTAACATTCATTTTACCTATGTACATACATATGTACATGTACAAATTACGAAAATCCACTGGTACCTCCTTCTTTACGTGGTGAACAAGTGGAATATCTAACCAAGTTTATGATGCTGTGCTGGTAGTCGAACAAGTGAAATATCTAAGCAGATTTATGAAGCTTTGCTGGAACCTCCTTCTTTAAATAAATAAACACGTTGGTTGACTTCAACACAATTTATTGCCCGCTCATTGGACGAGTCGGGATGAGTTATCGAACTAAACTAAACTGAAAAACTATTTTACTCTACTTTAAATCGAAATCTAATTCTACAAATACACTTACAAATAAATAAGCTGCAGTCGCGACCATCGTCGGTGGGAACGCCGCTGACTGCGCTAAGTGTGATGATAGCGTGGAGCATAACATAAATTCACTCCCACGCTAGATAGCTGGTCTTCGCTATGTAACTGCCCTGCACCTGCAAGCTGGTGTTATGTTGCAGATTCGGGGAATTTGTGACTGTTGCTCAATACTATTGGCCTTGAGCCATATGTGACCATTATGACAGCATAATACAAATTCACTCCCACGCTAGAGCTACAAAGCTGGCTTTTGATATGCAGCTGCCCTGCATTTGCAGGCTGGTGTTATGTTGCAGATTCAGGAGATTTGCGGATGTCGCTTATTATTGTTGGCCTTGAGTCACATGTGATAACTTACATACGTTTACACATGTACATGTTAATAGTATGTTCCTATTCTACCATATTAGCTCTATCTGTTTACATACATGCTTGCATTCGTATATTCCTATGCAGCTCCTAAATGTGTGCTTATGGTTTTGTATGTTTTTGGTCTGGCCAGCTGCCTAGCTTTAATAGTTGGGCTCTCATTGCTTTAGTATTTTATGCCATTCTCCTTCTTTTTCCTTGCGTTGAATTGTTCGCACAACGAAAGGGCCCCATAGCATAGCATTTTGATTTACCCCCATTATATTTTTTTTTTATTTTTGTGCTCATACCCAGCTCATTTCAGTGACATAACACACTTCAGCGACATTAAAACATATATTCTGGACTTACTGCACAGTCGAGTGTCATTTTCCCTCCTATTTGTTGCAACATTCTGCATTCTTGAACGTTGATGATGTTGTTGCCTGTCAACCACTGGCAGACAGCGACTGACAACTTTTACTTGGTGGTTCGCCACCAGATTAAGCCTTACTTCCTGCGTACTAATGCAGACATATATATGTATGTATGTGTGTATGTGCATAAGTACTTATTAACCTAACTAGTACCTACCATCTATGCTCTATTGCTGGTTGTTGCATCCCTTCTACGTCTGCATTTATGATGAAAGCTGCTGTCGTGGTTATGTTTACAAACGCACTCCGATTTGCTGTTATGCAAACTTTTAATCACAGTTGTAACAGTTTTCAACAAAAGTTTATGTGTAACTAAAACTTACAGCAGCATTAAAAAATAACCATAGGCTGGAAAAGAGTAACGAAGTGGTGAATGCGACTAATAAGGAACATTGATTATACAAGTGGACATTTTGACCACAAAAAAAAAAGTTAGACAGCTGTGTGGCTGATTTATCTGAGTTGTTGTTGAGATAAACATAGTTAGTTGTTTTAACTAAACTATTTTCTCAGTGTAAAATTTTTGGTAGCGCTAGGTATGCGTCACTCAAATGGTTTTATATTAATCTGGTAAAAATATCGACGCGCTCGGTTCATGCGCAGCCTCTCAGGCTTGCCGGAATTTTTCTGTCTACGTATCCTCTTCTATAAAAAAAGGTATTATTTTGTATCTAAAATAAATCTACTCTAAAATAAAGTGACCGTTTATTTTATAAGTAATTTTTAAGCAACAAAAAACCGACTTCAATTCTCATATACAAATGTAAGACTACCGTTGCACCATGCCTTTCCTTAAAAAAAATAATAATATAGAAAACGGTTAAAGTGGTCTAAAGATATGCGGTAACATACATGAAAAAATATATATGTTCCGAGGAATTGATAACCACCTCCTTTTCTTGAAGTCGGTTAAATTCTAAGCATACTGAATCTGCTCGCAAATGAATATACATTTAATAAAATTGCATAAAAATAAGGAGTTAAAATACATAGATATCTTTTTTCAACAAAGAATTTTTTCAACGTACGCTAAGCCTTGCGGTAGTAGACGCCATTAGTACCCTCGAAAACGTTAAAGTGATCGGTGACCAAGTGACATGATTTGCTCATTTCTCTACTAACTTTAGCCTCTTCGGTTGCCTCCTCGATACGCTCGAGCCCTTGCAGTAATTTCTTCTCCATTTCTTTCGAAAGACATGGACCTGAGCGACTGCAAGTTTGTGCGATTTTACGCATTTTGATTTCCTCAATTTTAACACTTCTTTCCGGCGCAATCAGGATAGGTCGTTGTGTGCATGTCAGCTTGCCTTTGCACGAGAGACAACTATTACTTTGGCCCGCAAAGGCAGTTGCCTTTAGGCATGCGGATTTTTTCTTCAAAGTTTTGCAAATATTTTGAATTTTTTCGATCTCAATATTTATGTACCTCTTCAATTCTGGTAGAACAACTTTATAAATCTTCGCATCAAGCATATCCTGCAGCTCTTGCATAGCTTCCGTAAAGAGGTGTTTTTCAATGACAATCAGTTTGCTTAGCTTTTCGATTTCTTTCACCAGCACCTCTATATAAGCCAAACGCTCGCACTTCTCCGCCAGGCGGCGGCTATAATCCAACACTTCGCCATGCAATGTCTTTAAACGTTTTCTCATATCAATAATTGGTCCTATTAGTGGTTCTTCAACGATTTGCTTGCTCTTTTTAATGAAATTGTAGTCTCTTAAAAGCAGACAATGCAATTCGCTCTGAGGTTCAGGTTTGTCGCAAAAGCTCTCGCAAGCTCCACAAAATGGCTCCCAATTCTTCTTTGCATATGTTTGATTATGTTTTTCATTGCAAGTACGTATGTGCTCAATATGCTCTTCCAGCTGCTTTGCCAGATTATCATGGCGTTCCTCCAAATGCCGTAATTTTTTCAACTTCTCCGAAATCAATCCGACGTTTTCTACATTAAAGGGCAGTGGTGATATCCTGCTCTTGCGCAGAATGGATTGCAAGCAAGCGCCATCTCGTCTATCGATTTCCACCTTTTCGTATTGGCAGTCGAGTTTTTTCAGCAGTATATCGAAGAGGCTATGCAGAATCGATAGATTAATACTGGAAATTTTCGGGGTTCCCAGTGCCATTTGCAGCATTTGTTCCAAAGTCACTTCAATATGCGTTGTGGTCATTTTGTCTGGGAAAGAGGCAACGCTTTGACATGCAAACATTTTCGAAGTCAGATGTAATGTTAAGCAAAATTAATGGTTGTGATTTGTGCCCTTTCTGGCGCTTCAACTTTAATATTTTGAGTGAAGATAAGTTTTTTGATAATTTGAAATGATTGTTGCCAGAAAAACTAATTTTGTATCGAATAAATATGCCTTGTGCTGAGTTTCGGCCGAAAAAAAAATTCACCCGAAAATTTGTATTCCGCCCATAAAGAAATTCATGAAAACCAAAAGTGAAAAGTCAACCGGTTCGGGGAAAATGAAAGTTATGATAAGTCTGAATACCACATCCATACTGCTCTGAAATATGAGAATTCGACCTCAAAATTTTGAAAACTTGTTTAAGTGCTTCCGCCGCCTGTGGCTTTACTCAGGATTACAGCTGACGGCGGTAAAGCGGTCCTTTTAGCTCGTTACAATTAGTCCAGCGCTTTTCGAATTTTCTTAGCACATCAAAATCAAGAAGATTCTTTTCAATGACCTCTTCAGTCCACCGAATTTTTTTACGGCGGATTTCTAGACTTAGGGTACTGAAGAAATTCCATTCGGACTCAGTGCCATCCTGAGCCGACTTCCACTTAACATAAAGTAACATAAAGGCGCTGATATTTTCAAATCAGGCAACCTCACCCAAATGTTAACATTTTGTAGAAATATTTTCGTGAAAATCTTAAAATATAATCTGTCTTATCCTGGGTTTCGCCCGAAAAAAAGTTCACCTGAGTATTTATCTTGCACCCATAGTAAGTACATTGAAACAAAAAGTTAAAAGTAAATATTAAACTCATGACAAGCCTGAATAAGCTTTATATTTCCCATGGGAAAGCATTATCGTTTTTTTTTTGTAAGAAGAGGGTTGCACCCTAATGCCCATTCATACGTTCATAGATACTAGGGTGATTGGCTCGGTTTTAAACGATTTTGAAACCTTGATTTTGTGAATACCAAGTAAACCAGAAGCCGAATTCCAACGTTTGCTGTCGCTAATTTTGATTGCCAAAAATCTGCAAGAGAATGGCAGGTGCGCCTAATAACTGGCATCATCTATGTTGTTGTTGTTGTTGTTGTTGTTGTAGCGGCTCCAACAACCCCGCCCAGGACGGTTGGTATCTCAGTCGTTGTCGTCAAGTTCCACTAACGGCAGCCCCAGGAAGCGTGCAGCTTCTGTGGGGTTGGTCAACAAGGACAAGGCCGTTAGCGTTGTCGGGTTTTCCGGGCATGCGAAGAGAGGCATCATCTATCGTCAGATTTGGCTGATTATTGTATACTTTTAGGCCCATTGATTTTCTTTTAGAGAATTTTGGCGACACAAATTTAGCGTAGCAATTGCTAGAATTTCACTGCAGCTTCAAATATTGATTTTATTGGAAATGGAATTAGATGGACCATTTTTACTAATTCTATAGCTTGGTGTAAATTTGTGGACACTTGGAAACTCATAGTTACAGAATTCAGCTCCAGCTCTCAAGCAAATTTACAGCAAAGGCAATGTACGTCTTCGGGCAGAAGAAATAAAGAAAAATATTACTCTTGTGAGCTGGAAACGAACCTTTATGTGTGAATTTTTAACTTTTTTTTAATTTTACTTATAATATATTTCGGGAAAAATTTCGTGTGATTTCTAAATCACTGCTACACCTATTTTTATGTCACATTGCAATTTATAGTAATTATTTATTACTGTAAAGAAAATATGTAAAATAAAACAGTTTTAGCTGTGTTTTTCCTAATTTGAAACTGGCGAAGCGGTTTCCGGAAAACGGCGAATAATAGAACACCCTAGTTCATACCTTTCAGTACTCTCATTGCAGGAATTTAATTTATTTAGCCGATTATATTTGTCTTTTATTTTCTAATACAAAAATAACCGGTATTTTCCCCAATCTATTTTCTTCGGAATATAAAACATTAAATTATTTCGCATTCGGTTTAAATTTTTTAAAGCTTTCGCACTATTTTCAAGATCTTTCGGGACTTTTCGAGATCCTACCATATTTTTCCGCCTTTTTTTGATTCTCATAGGAATACTTTTTCGTAATTTTTTTGGGATACTTCGATATTTTTCAGTATCAGAAAATCTTCGGAACCTGTACGCAAAGGTAGACCAACAAATTTTGTTTTAGTTGATCAAGATTTTTGAAAAATATAGAATCAAAAATTTGCTTGTATTATAAGAAAAATGTTTAAGAAATATATGTACGCAACTTTCAAATATTTGCTTCCCGAAATTGATCTTCGCAGCGTTTAACCCTTGCGGTATGTTAAACCATCGGTGCCTTGTAGGACATCTAAACTCTCAAGACACGTAGCCTTACAATCATCTATTGAAACAATATTAGTAGTTAACAATTCGGGTTCGGCATGCCGCAACCTAATCACTTTGGACACCATATTCGCATTCAAAATCACAGGAGACTGCTCTTTCGTGCATTTGCATACTCTCGGCAAGCGTGTGGGCTTGAAGGCATGTGCATCTGGAAAAATACCTGTCGCATGTACACCTTTCTCAACGCAGACTCGACGATCGCCGCACGACAAGCAACGTACACCGCTGGTGATAATGCCTGGTGTCTTTGGACAGTCCGCCTTATTTTGTATATTTCTTATATGCCTTTCTACGTAGTTCAAACTGAGCATAACGTATTGTTTCAGTGCCTGGATTTGTACTTTATCTAGCTTGGAGTCTAAGATGTCCTGCACTTCCGCCATTGTATGCAGAAACCTGTTATTATGTTCTTCGATTTCCGAGCGTAGCTTATCAACCGCAAGCAGGCATCCTTCAATCGTGGCCAATTTATCCAAATTGGCTGCGGCATTTTCAATCAATGCATTCATATCATCATTGAGCGCGGCGATCTCCTGCTCAAATTCAAATAGATTCAAAACCATGGGCTCTGCTAAACGCCGCTGTAGCTTCATGAGAAAGTCAATGTCGCCAGTTAGCGCGCAAGTAATCTCTCTTTCCTTTTCACATGGAATGCATTGACTTTCCACCTGTGCTGTGAATTGTTCCCAGTCCTTGCTGTTGAATTTTATTTGTGGCAACTGACTGAATTTTTTCGCGACTTTTATGTGTTCATTGAACTTGGCCTCTATTTCGTCCACAGACATCTCTAGCTTGGCAATAACTTTCAATTTCGGTGCAATTACGATCAGCTGCTTGTCGTCAAAGGTTATCGGTGTTGACTTCGATTTATTTAACAATTCTGCTAGGCAATCAGATTCTACGCCGCAAATCGAAACTGTATCATCTTGGCAGCCAAGCTTTTTGAGTATCACATCGACCAGGCTGTGCAGAACATGTACACTTGTAATGGTCATCTCTGGCGCGCCCAAGGCAATTTTGGTCAGCTCTTCTAAAGTGAATTGTGCTTTAGGCGCCATTTCGAGGGGCTGCTAAATGGTGCTGTTCTTTAGTTTTCTAGAATCTGTTTTCTTTTTTGTACTATGTGCTCATTTATGTTTTTACGTGAATAGGTGATGACTGAAAGATTTGATATTTTTGTTTTTGATGATTTCGTATAAGACTGCCAAGCAAGGCGTATTTAACAGGTGATAGCAGCACCCAGGGCGCACCCAGGAATATATTTTAGGGGGGTTTTATATTTCTGAATATATATTACCGGAAAATACTGAAAATTTGCTTCAGATAATACGCTCTTTAAAATACATTCATGCAAGTTTTATGTACAGTATGTAATAAATAAATAAACATTTTAAAATTCATAAACTGCACTTTATTTACATAAGATTAACAGAACTCAAACACTTTTAACCGACTTCAAAAAAAGAGGAGGTTATCAATACGCCGGAATACATAACTTTTGACCACGTGAACCGATTTCAATAATCCATTTCTTATTGGAAAGATGGTACCTCAAGGGTCGTCCCGTAATTTGTTTTAGAGATCCGATGATTGGATCATGAAGAAATTAACGGTACCCCTAAATTTGAAGTCGGTTGTGTTCTTTCCTTAAAAACTACTTGCTTAATAAAAAGTTCTATAAACTGAAGATGCGCTCAACTTTCAAAAGTACCTAATAAAAAATTTTAAAAGAGTCATTAAAAATAAATTTATTGATTCCATAAATTTTTGCACTTTTATGTTCATTTTTTCGATTTCTGGTTTTCGATAGAGATGGTGAGTTTTCACGATTGCTAAATTTTTTTACACCCGAGCGCACTTGTGCACAAGGGTATATTAATTTTGTTCACATAACGGTTGTTTGTAACAGCCAAAACGAATCGAGATAGATATAGACAAATGTATACATAAATGATCAGGATGAAAAAATAAATCGATTAAGCCATGTCTGTCTGTCCGTCCGTCTGTCCGTCTGTCCGTCCGTCCGTCCGTGTACACGATAACTCGAGCAAAAATTGAGATATCTCAACGAAATTTGGTATGTAGGTTTCCCTTAATCCAAGGTAGGTTGGTATTGAAAATGGGCGAAATCGGACTGTAACCACGCCCACTTCCCATATAACGGTAATTTCCAGAAATACGAAAACTGCGATATTTTAGTAACTACTGAAAAAAATTCACTCAACATTGATATTTACAATAATTTTTAGACGAAAAATAAGAATATTAAACATTTTTGGAAAATGGGCGTAGCCACGCCCACTTATGGTTACATGTGTATATCTTGGTAACGGCTGCACCAATTTCTTCCAAACTTAGCACAGTTGTTGGCCTTGGTCCAACATACAAAATCGCCGAAAATTTTTAAAATCGGACGATAACCACGCCCACATCCCATATAACGGTAATTTAGAGACATACAAAATCTTCGATGAATCAGTAAATATTGAAGCTTTTTTATTCAAAATTGATGCTTGCAACAATTCTTTACCAATAAATACGTTTATGGTAAAATTTTGGAAAATGGGAGTGGCACCGCCCACTTATGGTCACATATATGTAAATCGGTAACCGTTCTACCAATTTGTACCAAACTCGGTGTGGTTATTGTGCTTGCCACATATAAACAAAACATTGAAAATTATTGAAATCGGATTAAAATTACGGCCGCTTTTCATATAACGGTAAATTTCAGAAATGCCTGAAACTTCCATATTTCGAAATTTAAAGACGGTAATTTACTCCAAATTGATACACCCCGGCTTACCATATAGCGGTTGCTTTCGGAAAGGTGAAAAAATATATGTGACCTGGTCTACGAAAAGGGAGCTTACGTGCGAAAACTAGTTTTCTGTGAAAAAGCTGTTAAAAGTAAGCAACTCGTTTCGTTTACTCGTTTTTACTCTTCTTTCTTTACATTTTTAGTACACTTCTAAGCAAGTTAGGATTTTCTGCTTTTCACCACGTGAAAAAGCATCTCATCTTCCATCCGAATCAACCAAAAAGTGAAAATTGATTTTTTGACACCTAAGCCCCCTTTCCGTTGACCAGGTCACATATATTTAATACTTGCGCCGGGTATTTAATGTTCGGCGAAAAAATTAACTGAACTCTCAAGAAAAACGAAAAATTCATATAAAACGACGGACGAGAAATGGAAAAGAAATTTTCTTTTACCAAAATCAGTTAAATCAGTTTGCAGCTCTCAAGAAAAAATGCTCGTATATTTATTTGCTCATAGAAATTTACAGCAAAAGCAAAGCGCTTTTTCAGGCAACAGAAATTATAATAAATATTTCTTATAAATTCCTTGAGCTGGATTCTTAGCTTTAAGATACAGCTTGTATTTGAGGTTATTAGTTTTAGGGGGGGCTTGAACCCCAAAACCCACCCCTTGTGTGCGCTAATGGCAGCCCCCTTTTATTTTCCTTCGCCTCACGGCTTCATATGTCAAATGGCTGCTGTGGATTGGTTGGAGCAGTTGATTGTTTATTGTTTTTTGTTCTCTTTCACATCATTCCTATGAAATTTTTGACAGTCCTCGCCGCAAAAGCAAAAACAAAATACATGCACATTTTGTGGTTGGCGTACCAATACCACCTTATTGAATAGGCCTTGACTGCCAAGAAAGCGCAGTTCAGTGAAGTATCTCGGCCATTTTCAGTCAAAAGTGAGCTGTGGTTTTCATAGTGGTTTGCATAATACTGGTTAGGATATGCACAGAATATTGCATGAAAAGGGAAGGAACTCGAAGGGGCTTTTTTGTTAGCTTGATTCAAGCAGGGGCCGAGAACGCGTTCCAGTTTCGGTTTAGTTCCGCATGCGAAAAAAATTTAATGTCAAGGACGTTCGCGTAAAAGAATCTGGAACAAAAGTATTGAGAGCAGTTTGATCAGCAACAAAATAAGAACAGGTTTGGGGGCGTTTCCATAAGGAACAAAACTCTCGTTTTCAATGAAGATCAAATAAGAACAAAAGTTTATGGAACGTTCTGCTAGAGTACAAAACGAAAAGAAAAGTTTTGAAAGCTTAACGTTAAGAACTGGAGTGGAGTCTGCCTGTTGGGATGGAAAATTGTTTCAGTGAGAACCACGATTGCTAATTCTAAGCCAGGCGAAGTCTAGATTGTTACGACTTCGAGATCACTTACATGAACCCTCCATTTACGTATAAAATTTTCACTTTATTGTGCGAGAAAAGTTCGTGTCTCAAGTCTTTCGTTTACTTAGTTTGCATGGTCATCTTTTAGTTCTTGGCAATTTTTTTTGTTTATTTTAATAATAATGAAAATTTTTTTTGGAAAATCTAACCAGTTAAATCATTTAACTCGTTTAAAAACTAGTTCAGCGCAGAGTTGTATCAAAAAGCTTTCTGCTTCAGCCAATCAGAAAGAGCAAAAAGCTTCCATTTGACACGCCAAAAATCCAAAAAGTTCTTTTCTCAAAAATATGAAAAATTAAAAACTATCAAAAAATATCAAAATTGTATGCATGTCTGCCCATAAGGCCTCGTTTATGTTTTTTTTAATTTTTATTTGAAATCGAACAACCATCAAAGTTAACTCCAAATGTTCATTGCAGATGATTTTGTTTTACAAAAAGCTCTTTTTCGTTTAACAAATTAAATGGGGCCAATTTGAACATAATTTGAGACGCAGTTTTGTTTTTTGGGGTGACTGAGCTTTTTAAAAGCCCCTTTCACTCTCCTCTTTGAATATCTAAATTTCAATCAAGTTTCTTTATAATCAAAAACATTTCTGCTGTAAATATTTTTTTCATTAATTCACACACAAATCAAAAACAAGGATGGTTCCGCTTCCAGAAGGCCATTTTACATTGCAACAATTGGCAGACATTGCACTTGGTGGCGAATGTTTGACTAACGTGAATACCATAGTATTGCATAGCTTACTAAATCTTGTATTGAAGAAGTTGAATTGCCAAAACGAGAAAGTATCGATTAGTGGCTATGAGGCTAAACAAATGGCTGAACTCTTACAAATAGCCAAAATATCGCCAATTAGTTTCACTGAGCAAGAGTTCGATACAATTATGGAAAGATTCGATAACTTGGAGGAATTGGAAAAACGACTCGAAGTGGCAGATGAAAATTTGAAAGAACATTTGCTGAGCGTTCGTCGCTATTTGAGTAAAGTTGAATCTCTGGAGCCATGTCACTTAGACGAAGAGGAACACTATGAACTGTGTGAGGATCTTTGTAGCACACTCGATCCAGATGTAAAAGTTGCCTGCGACGCTTTGCGACAATCGTCCTTTCTCAAGAATATATTGCTACGCATGTGTCATCCGATAGTTAAGGCACATTTTGCTATTGAAGACAAGTTAACCACACTTGAAGCAGAAATTTTTTCATTAAAACAGCGGTTGGACAATAATTTTAATGCCTTCGGCCTCATCGATAAAGTGGAACTTGAGCTTGGACGGTGCCACATCGAATTCGATAGATTGCATGCAAGTTTCATGAAAGCTTTGAATGAAATACAAGACATACTCGATGCCAAGGTGAACAAATGTCAAATGCTGCAGCTGAAAAACTATATCTCCGAACGATTAGATATAATTTATGAAAAACTGAATAAATTGGCGAGTGAAGGTCGTTGCAAGCGCGCTTGTGCTATCGTTTTCGAAGATACGAAATCCCAACCCATAACGAAGCAAAAACAGAAGAGCAAGTGTGAATGTGCGTGTGTACCATACTAAGCATCAGGTGAACAAAAGTTGCAGGATCGCATAAAACGCATAGACATTAGACGCATGGAGGTGCGTTTGGAATCACATACCGGCTTAGTACTCATAAAAATCACTGGATATGTCCATTAGGGTGGTCCTTAAAAAATCAAATTAACGATTTTCTTCAGTCTTACCCCTTCAATAAGTAACACCGTTGTCATAGATATTACATATAAATTTTGGTCCCCATTGAAGACGGTTAAGGCGTGTAGCAAAGCGGTCAAAGGCCAGATGCCTCTAAGGACTCAAAAAATTTAAAATATGTTTTT